TGAATGATTTGGTTCATTCCCCCATCACTTTGACCCCAGCGAGTTAATAAAGAGAAATGACAGCCTATCTCTCTCACGAAGACTTTAACCAATCATAAACCAAATAAAATAATCAAACGACGCAATGTCAATTCTGTCAATCCAAAGTAATGACAGATCTTCCGTTTGTTTACAAGTTTTCAATTTTATTTTATTATCTTTAACTTTCGTTTGCATTTATTCTTAGTAATTTTAATTTAAATTTGGTTACTTAATTTTTAAAGTTTATTTTGAGTTACCTATTGTACCAAAGAATTTTTGTGTAGTGCTAGTAACAAAACTAAACATGGTGAATTATTGTATTGTTCGTTGTGTACAAATCATGGAAAAATTACAAAAAGGATGATAGTAAGTTGTCAGGAAGCAAAAAATAATAGTATTTAACTTCTGCAAATATGTGTAATAAATATTATGTAATTATTTTATAACTGTTTTATCTTAAACAACAAATAAATATACGTATATCTAGAAAAAATTGTGCATCTTTTATTATATCTTATTTTCCAATAAATTTTAATTAGTAACGAAATAGCCCACAAGAGGCGCTAAAGGGTATGTATGTGAGGGGTGTTCATTCGAATTTGCCGCCAAAAGATGATTAGTATTGACCCCAGCCGCAAGGGGCCTAATGAACGAAATTTATACATTGAGTTGCCTATCTATTTCTACTATTATATTATTTATCTATGTCATTAACGTTTATCATTAAGATAAACATACACTTACCACAGCCACAGAATAATAAACAATCAGAAGGGCCACTCTCAGATGCCGCCTTTGAAGTTTTTCAGCACGCGCGCCATGTTTTAGGAGGACACAGACATATGATTTGTGTGGTTATGTAATTGTTTATATTTATGTTTAATTATATTATATTTATGTTATTATATTTAACAATGTTAATATAATTGTATAGTATGTCTATGATTGCCGTAAGTAAAATAAACCTGGTTAATTTTTCCATGCACACCACATAAACAACACTAATTTCTTTAAAATCCTCCTAAAACATGGCGGAACGTCTGCGCGGAGGAGATGCGCGTACTTAATTTTCCGTGGAGAGTGGGTATTCTGTTTGTTTATTATTCTGTGCCACAGCCACAGAGTAATAAACAATCAGAATGCCCACTATGCTTAAAAAAATTAGTTCGCGCATCTCGTTCGCACAGACGGAATCAGCCATGTTTTAAACGGAACCAGTTCTGTTCAGTGACATTTGATCTGGTGTGCATAGACAAATTAACCCGGTTTAATGTATTTACGACAACTACAGACATAATATGCACTATTTTATTCTTACTTTTAGTTGAAGAAATGTACTAAATTATTCTTCTTCTTCTTCTTAGGGTGCCTGTCCGTTCCGAACGTTGGCGATAATTCTGGCTATGATGATTTTGTTGGTTGCTATACGAAATAGCTGTGTTGAGGTCTTTGAGACTGAGATTATTGAGCTCTAAAAATTTAAATTTTAGTTATGTTGTAGCTTGTCACAAATTTCTCAATTCGAGTGTATGTTTCCGTCTAAAACATGGCGTTCGCGTGCTGGCAAACTTCAAGGGCGGCATCTGTGAGAGTGGGCATTCTGATTGTTTATTATTCTGTGCCACAGCACTACTATAAAAATAAAATGACGTTAACACTTTACCAAAATAAAATAAAAACTAAATGAATTTAAATAGAACTATGGCGATTACAATTTTTTTTTTCGAATAACTAACTAATCGAAAGAAACAAATATTCATTCGTTTGTGTTTTATGTAAATTTAAAAATAAAAAATAACTGATTTCATAAAATTGTAACGATGTGCTGAACGTTCAACCGTGGGAGTGTCGATAATCACGCATCCATTTCCACGACGAGACGACTAAGTGGGGTCCGGAGCGGCTATTTAAAGCGAGCGATTGACAGAATTAAATAATCAAAAGACTGATATTTTTTTGTACACACTTATGACAAGTAGAAAGAAAATGCAAAAAAGTATTTTTGAAGTGTGTATATTTTTAGGCAATTCCTAGCTGAGCGCTTTCGGCTTTACAAAGCCATCCTCAGAGCTATGCTACAATAAAATGTTCTAGTAAGTACTAATTGGTAAAGATTGAAATTTTTAACTTACGTCAATTTTTAAATACCACTACAAAGGAGAGATCTCATTTCCTTAAGTTTCAAAATTATGATTTTTTGTAGGAGTTGGAATTCTTAAAACATATAAAAAACATATAAAAAGTCGACACTGGACTTCACAAACACGTTAAAAAATTGAAAAAATTTTTGTCATGGTACGGGTTTAAGACCCGACCATCTATTGATGTGAGGACGTAGACTGAATAGAACTAGTGAAATCAAATGTCGGTCCTTTTAAACGATTTTTCAAAAGTGACAGGTGACAAATGTCATATATAGGAAATAGAGATTGTTTTTTTTTTTTAAATTCTTACAAAATTATTTAGTAGTTTGGAATTACTACTAGTCAACAAAGACTTTCTAAAAATTAAGTTTTTAAATTAAATTTTATGTGTTCATCACATCATACAGAATGACATTAATTTGTAAATTCCATGGACGTATAAATAAAGAAGAAGTCGAAGAGATATTAAGAAGACTTCTTAATATCCCTATGTCTCAAGAAAATTACAATAAAGAAATCTCCATCATTAAACAGATAGCAAACAACAATGGTTTTCCTTCTACTACTGTTGATAAAGTCATTAGAAAATCTATACTCAAAAAGAGACTAAACCAAGCTTTTAATGTTGATAACAAATCCAACACTACTTCCATATATAGATCCTTAACTTACTTAGGACCAATTTCAGAAAAAATTTCAAGAGTACTTGTTAATAAAATTAATGACTTAAACATCTCCTTTAAAACCAAATATAACATCAAGTCCATCTTCAGCAAGACCAAAGACAAAGTTGACAAACTAAACAGAAGTGGTATTTACAAGCTGTCCTGTGGTGACTGTAATATGACTTATGTAGGTAGAACAATGAGAACTCTGAATCAAAGAATCAAAGAACACCTCAATAACCCAGAAAAATCAAACTTTGGATATCACATTAAATTTAATAATCATTCTTTTTCTCCTTCTGAAAACAGTAAAATTTTACACAACATTCCCAATAAAAACTTTAGACTCATGAATCTCTTGGAAGATCTAGAGATATCCAAAGAAATGAAAATAAACCCTGATTGTTGCTTAAACACACAAATCAACCTCAATTGCAACTATAAACCTCTTTTTAAATTATTATGGGAGACTTTAGAGGAAGAAGGGTGACCTCATGCAATCTTGTTATATATTTTTCATACTTTTATTTTTTAAACAAATTTTAAACTTTATTAAAATTTACAACATTTTGTAATTCATTTGACAGTTGTTCTTAATTGAAACATGAAAATACATTCTTAAAAAAATTTTTTATGCAAAGTTCTTACAATTTTCCATCAAGACATACAATTCTTAATACACTTAAGTATCAGATAACATAACATTAATACCAGGTTTCTTCTTTATAGTGTTGTTGAACAATTTGAGCCCTTGTTCCTTAAGGATAGCTGTCAGATTGAACATACATTGACCTTGAGCAATGACTTGAGTGAATTTACAAATTAATGTCATTCTGTATGATGTGATGAACACATAAAATTTAATTTAAAAACTTAATTTTTAGAAAGTCTTTGTTGACTAGTAGTAATTCCAAACTACTAAATAATTTTGTAAGAATTTAAAAAAAACAATCTCTATTTCCTATATATGACATTTGTCACCTGTCACTTTTGAAAAATCGTTTAAAAGGACCGACATTTGATTTCACTAGTTCTATTCAGTCTACGTCCTCACATCAATAGATGGTCGGGTCTTAAACCCGTACCATGACAAAAATTTTTTCAATTTTTTAACGTGTTTGTGAAGTCCAGTGTCGACTTTTTATATGTTTTTTATATGTTTTAAGAATTCCAACTCCTACAAAAAATCATAATTTTGAAACTTAAGGAAATGAGATCTCTCCTTTGTAGTGGTATTTAAAAATTGACGTAAGTTAAAAATTTCAATCTTTACCAATTAGTACTTACTAGAACATTTTATTGTAGCATAGCTCTGATGATGGCTTTGTAAAGCCGAAAGCGCTCAGCTAGGAATTGCCTAAAATATACACACTTCAAAAATACTTTTTTGCATTTTCTTTCTAGAATTAAATAAGTCTTGCGGCTAACGCTGTAGGATCCCTGGCTCGCTAGTGCATTGAATCTGCGAGCCAGCCCGGACGGAGAGACTTCCGCAGTGAGGATTATGCTCTGTACTTAATTAAACAGAACCCGTGGGCATCGCGGATTGAACGTTACCGTCAACTCTGACTCAGAGTATAACGTGGATCTGCACAATCGAATATTTTGATTACTAGTGCGTTTGGCGCTTCTGCTGGATTGAGCTGGAAGCGAGTATAAGTCGAAATTCGCGTATTTAAGTTTTTTGTTAGTAATAATAATTTTTTCTTTTATAGACGTCCGCCGGGGAATTCACTCTCTCGGGATCTAGACGGGGATATAGAATATATTTTATTTTTATTTTTGTATGTACGTTAGAATTAGTAGATTTATTTTTATTTCATTCTGTGTTTTACTGAGTATGTCGCTTCGAAAGAGCTAACCGTCACAAAATAATATAATAAAAATGTACTATTTCAAAGCATTTTTGAGGTATAAAACATACATAATATGGCCTTGGCAATCCCATAAATGCAAATTTGTGATTTACTGAAGTTTCATTTGTAAAAATTCAATCTTACTAAAGGTTTTTCCGTAATTCATGTTTCATCCAGATCAAAAATATTAGTGCCTTCAAATCTCACTTATCTCAATTTCTCTTAACCATTCGGTAAATGGTAAATTGGAAGACATTTTTGAAAACATTAAAACGCAATAAAACACTATAAATATTTATTAAAAAATAATTAATTTATTTAAGTACACTTTTCCTTAATTCCTCCTCTGCCTTCCAAAAATCTTCTCGATCTTTGAATAGCTGTAACGTCGTTTCGCTAAGTACGTCTTCTGATTCTAGATCCCCTGCAAGCTCTTTAGGTAAACATTTCTTTGGAAACAGTTCCCCTGGATTCCAGCCAGCTGAATGTATATGTAGCTAAAATGTTAGAACTAACGTATTATGATATAAGAAAAAAAGTAAAAATCCGAAGATTTCTACTACTTATTGGAAACCAAAATTCAGATTCCCACATTAACACGTTTAATGCCGATGAGAATGTTGAGAGTATCGAAAAAACCGGTACTAGTGTATTACTAATAGGGACATAAAAACCAATAAAAATTATCATGATTATATACATTTTGAAATATATATATATATATATATATATATATATATATATATATATATATATATATATATATATATATTATATTATTTTCAACCTTACCTCATCAGTTAAGTCATTTGAGAATGTATCCACACATATAGGCAGATGACTCAACAGTTGAGTCATGTAACTGAACCAATATTACAGTATAAATTAAGGAATAAACAACATACATCAATAATGTAAACTATATTGTATACTAAACAACAACGAATTTAAAAAACCATGGAAAATGTTTTAGTTGATAGTATGAAATAGTCTGAAACAGTCTCCAAGGCAAAGCCCAGGCTTATCGGGACACAAAGCACAAAAAATAGAATGTTTTACGTATATTATTTTCATAGCATAGTCTACATATTTTCCTCATTTGTCTTCCCTTGGAATCAGAATGGAATAATGAAATAGCATTCAGCTTTTCGATCATCTATCTTCTCTTGTTCTGTAGACTAATCATTTTACCGCTAAATTCTGTATGTCTGACTCTATCAGCATATTTAGTTATAATTCCCCGTTTAGTCAATTTTGTATTTATAACTTCTGTCGGGTTTCCTTTTCTATTTAATCTTATAGTTTTTGTTACGTAAGTTTTTTTATCAGTTCTTTACTGACAGCAAGGCTGTTGTAATGATTGTCCATAAACAATGCCCTTGATCAAAATAATTTCCCATCAATGAAAATACTACATGAGCGACATGCCCCATGTTTGCTTGCATATCTTTCTCTGCTCCACTGTATATTCTTAATTTTTATGTAAGTCCATCTGGTTCAGTTAACAGATACAGTTTTATTCCAAATTTATGTCACTTGTCCTTGATATATTGTCTAAATGCTAAGCGCCCTGGCCAAAGAACCATTGACTCGTCTAAGGAAAGCTGTTTATTTCGATAATAAATTTGATCAATTCGTTCGTTAAAAAAATCCTGCAGCCAATTAATGTTATTCAGGCGATCGTGATAACCTGGCTGATCTACTTGTAGTGTTGGCAAAAAATGCAAATATCTTAAGATTGTAAGAAAACGATTTCTACTCATAGACTGTCTAAAACAAATAAGATTGTATAAGTTATCTATTTTCCAATAATCTTGAATACGATTCAATTGAATATTGCCCATGTGCAACCATAAACCCAAAAATACTTTTAGTGATGAAACGGTTATGGAATGTAATGGGAAAAAGAAGCCATACGATTTTCTAGAGCTGCGATCCTAAAGATCACGTCTTGGGCACAGGATTATAGTAAACAAGAGAGTAAAGCATACTATAAAAGATTTCAGAGCCATTAGTCCAAGAATGTGCATTTTAAGATTTAAAGATCGTTTCTTTAACTACAGCATACTAATGTGCATGCCCCGACAGAAGAAATAGAAGAGGAAATTAAAGAAGAGTTTTATGATAAATTAGAGTCCGCATATCAGTTATGCCCAAAAAATGATATAAAACTAATTTATGGAGACCTAAACGCCAAAGTTGGAAGAGAACAGCAATTCCAACCCACAATAGGTAGGCACAGTCTTCATGAGCAATCAAATGACAATGGCAATAGGTTAATAAACCTAGCAAGATCACTTAACATGGTGATTGCCAGCACATACTTCGCTCACAAAGATATACACAAAGGTACCTGGAAATCCCCAGATGGGCTTACAGTAAATATGATAGTTCATGTCATTGTAGACTCGAGACACCAATCGAATATAATAAACGTCCGCACCAGAAGAGGGGCAAATGCGGATTCTGATCACTACCTGGTCGAAAGTAGGATAAGCGCTAGAATTTCAAACATCAAAAAGGAAAGAGGCTCTAATCATGAACGATACAAGGTAGAAGGACTCAAAGAAACAAACAAAAATAAACAGTATAAAGAAAAGATAAACAACAAACTAGAAAACAGACTAACACATGAAAACCTAAATAAGGAGTGGGAAGAATGCAGAGACATCATAAAAGAGGCAGCTAAAGAAGTATTAGGCATAGAAGCTAGAGAAAGAAGAACAAGAACGAATGACTGGTTCGACGAAGAATGTCCAGATTATAACAGACAGAAAAAACAGAGCATATTTACTGATGCAACAGGGGCACAGAACCCGACAAGCAGAGGAAGAATATAAACAACTACGCAAAGAAGTAAAGAAAACTCACCGAAGAAAAAAGAGAGAATATATGAACAAAGAACTTCGAGAACTACAAGAACATCAAGTAAATCAACAGAGACGAGAAAATTTAATCAGAAACTGAACAAAAGCAGAAAAGACTTCAAACCGAGAACAACGATGTGTAGAGATAAGGAAGGTAATAATATATTGACAGAACAGCAAGAGATATTAAGTAGATGGACAGAACATTTTACGGAAAAGCTTGAAGGAGATCGGAGAGAGACGAACCCTGACATACTATTAGACCAGGATGACAACAGAGAAAAGACTCCACAAACAATAGCCGAGATTAGAACAGCAGTAGACAAATTAAAGAACAATAAAGCACCGGGATCGGATCAAATAACATCGGAGTTACTGAAGGAAGGAGAAGACGCACTACAAAACATGAATTGATAACCCTTTAGCGGTTGGTGATCACTGTAATAACCACCACGGTAAAGATCATAATAGTAAAAATTTATAGACGTTTTAATGAAAGAACGTTAATAATATCACTTGGTGTTTTACCGGAATGGTTGGTGCACACGAACTCCTTTAATTGCGCGAGCTTTTAGCAAAAGGTGATCGTTGTGGTGACCACCACGCGCTTGTAATGCATAAAAAATTAGCAGTTTCCAATTGTGTTATATTCGAGTGGTTGTACTACTTTTTCTAATACAAATATTGTTGAAATAATTAGTGTTTATCATTGTATGTGTATCCTAGGTGGGATTTCTAAAACGATTTTCAACATTTTGTTTACCATTTTTGCATTACAGAGTATAAGGTAAACATAACATAGAATTTGCGTGAAGTGAGGTTAGATTTTTTATTATTATTTCAAATATTATCTAATATAATGACAAATAATAATACATAATCATTGTAACATAGTGTATAGAAAGTATTTTTCGCTACCGTTTTGTATATGTTGTTACGGCTGAGAAAATATCAGGTGTAATGTAAACTTGATTCACGTACACTGCATAGCAAAAATAAGTCACATTTTCGAAATTGTACAAAAAGCAACTATTAGCTTGAATAACTTTTTCTGTTGGACAGACTCATCGATTACTCTTTATTTGTTGTACAAGTAAGATCGATATCACATAAATTATTTTTATTTTACTTACAGAATATGGTATTTCCAAAAACTTTGGATATAACAAATATAACTTCCGATGAACTTTATAAACTGATCGATGGAATTACAGACGAACAAGCGGTTGACTCTGATTATGATGTAGACAGTGACGCCGAAGATACTAAAGTTACATTTTGTTCTGTTATATCTATAAGCAGTGGCTGTTCAACACCTTTAGCTAGTCCAAGCACCCCTGGATGTTTCCACAAATGAAAAACCTGAGAGGCTATCACGTTCACGTGATTATTATCACGGCATTGGCTCTGATAATGAACCTTATGATAGTGACGATTCTATTGTTGACCCCACCTACAGCTTGGAAAAACCACTACCAAGAGGCCAACTATTGCTTGACTCTATCCAATCAGATTCAGGTTCTTATCCATCTGAAGAAATTACGAATTCTGCTGTCTCATGCAACATCCATGTTTTTAGAAAAGAGACATGCATTCCAACTACTTATAATCAATATAATTTCTCTCGACCGTTTGGTTCAACAATTTGCGATCTAGATAAACCTTCCCGATTTTTGAATGTGTTTTTAGACGATGTTATATTAGACAAAATTGTCAACGAATCGAATAAGAATGCTCATGAGGAGGGTACAGAACTAAATTTCAACGTAACTGAGCTCAAAGCTTTCATAGGTATACTAATTATACAGGGTTACGCAATTGAACTGTTACCTATTAAACGACCATATTTTTTTGTGTGAAATTATTTTTTATTCATTCAAATGACAAAAATGTGTGAAAAAAATCAAAATTTCAGAATCCACTCACTTTAGCTCGATGTGGCCACCTTTTGCCTTGACTATGACCTTCAAACGATTAAAAAACGAGTTGCATGCTGCACGAATGTGATCTTCCGGTATTTTGGCCCATTCACGTATAATCGCTTTCTTCAGCGCATCCATACTGGCATATTTTTTAGTCCTCACCTTGCTTTCCAAAATGGACCAGATGGAATAGTCCATCGGATTTGCGTCTGGCGAATTCGAAAGCCATTGTGTGGATGAAATGAAGTGTGAAACATGTTTTTTTAACCATTCTTGGTTCACACTAGCTTTATGAGACGGTGCCAAGTCTTGTTGGAACGTCCATGGTCTACAACTGAAATGTTTGGGTGCAAACGGCTCTAAAGCAGCTTCTAAAACATTTTCCCGATAAGTTGCATTGACTTTGACACCAGATTCAATAAAAACGATTTGAGAGCGTCCATCGGCGGTTAGCAGCTGCCCATACCATTACTTGAGATGGGAAATTACTTCGGGTGGCCGTTCGTAAGCCCAAACTTTCGTAGGTGATTTCGGTCAAGTAAACACGATCATTTTGAGAGTTTATGAACTGCTCAATAGGAAAATTTTTCTCATCAGAGAACACTATGTTCGGAAATTCGCCACGTTCGCGCAGACGTAACAACTCCTTTGCTCTTTCAAGCCGAACTTTTTTTTGCTTTGGTGTAAGATTGTGTGCTTTATTTAACTTGTAAAACTTGACCTTGAGCTCCTTTTTCAATATTCGTTGCATGCTTCGCTAGGATATTTTCAGTTCTTTGGCCATTTGGATTTATGGACAATATAGCGTTTAGCAATGCTACCAGTATCATTATAACGAGTTATAGTGTGATACACAAACATTTTATTCATTTTGAGGTGTTTGAGCTAACGGACAATAGCTGGTTGTGATTTTCCAGCCAAATATAAGGCAATCACACTATTACGTTTAAATTCCATTGCGAATAACTTTTGTTGTATGTATAAAACTTAAATACAAATGTTTTTGACGACTTATAAACATACTGAAGTGTTATCAGGCCAACTTTGACCTAGCTGTCATTATCTATTTGCCAGATATATCGATGTGAAGTTGGTCACAGTTCAATTGCGTAACCCTGTAATGGGGATTCACCGACTTCCTAGTATCAGACTTTACTGGTCTGTGAATGAAAATTTCAGAGTTAGCAAAATAGCAAACTTAATGACTTAAAAGAGATTTCTGAAAATTCTCCGCTTTTTACACTTAAATGATAATCAAGCAATGCCTAGAAAAGGAACACCCGGGTATGATAAACTATACAAATTACGGCCATTACTTTCTCATCTTTCTAATAAATTTTTAAAATCGTTTTCACCGTCTCGCAATTTGGCAGTAGACGAAAGTATGATGGGCTTCAAAGGTAGGTCGAGTTTGAAGCAATATATGCCAATGAAGCCCACCAAAAGAGGCTTCAAGGTGTGAGTAATAGCATGTTCTGCCTCTGGATATATGTTAGATTTCAATATTTATTAAGGACGTAGCTACGGAGAAGAAGAAGGTACATTAGGCGAAAGAACAGTACTGCATCTTTCAAAATCATTTTTCAATAAAGGGTACTGTATATTTTTGATAACTATTTTTCATCGTTTAACTTGCTATCCGCCTTACTGGCAAAACGCTATTTTCAGCTGTGGAACATTTAGGATCAATAGAAAGTATTATCCGAAACATCTTCTTAAAAATACAAGGCCTTGAAAATCGGGGAGTTCGATTATGCCACAAGCAATGAACTCTCTGTTTGCAAGTGGAAGGATAGAGGAAAGAAATCTATTGTTATTGTAAGTTCTTTCCATGATCCATCATGGCTCACAACTGTATCACGAACCAATAAAAAAGGCGAAAAGGAATGTATTTCATGCCCAATGCCCATATACGATTATAATAAAAATATGGGAGGAGCATTTTGACCAGTACATGTTCACGTATGGAACTGGAATTTCATGGAAATCCAGGAGATGGTGGATGAAACTGTGCTATTATCTAATTGACGCCTCAATTGTCAACGCCTACATAAGTTATAAAATTGATTGTAACAAGAGGAATACAAAACCAATGTCTCATTTGATGTTTCGCAGTAATTTAGCTGATGAGCTAACACAAGATTATTGCACCAGAAAAAGACCAGGTCCAAAAGTGATTGTTTCCAAAACAAAATTGAAAAAACAAAATGGACGATCTGTAAACACGACAGATACTGTACGAAAATCGAACGTAGGAAAACATTTACCCATGAAGGGAAACGTACGACGGTGTGGGTACTGTAGTACAAAAAAGAAAGTTGTCAGATCAACACTTATTTGTAAAGAATGTGATGTGGCATTGTGTGTTTCATGTTTTGAACCATTCCACACATTATAAAGTTCATAATATTAAGCTACCTACAATATCTTGTTGTGAACAAAGTCTTACTGTTATAGTTAAATTTTTTTCGTTTCTTGCTAAATTTTGCTAAGCTTTGGATCATAAAACAAATACTTTCACTGATAATAAAGTTAAGTCCAACATTTCTTCTGCCAAACTTTTTAGTGTGAATATACGAACATCCTTGTTTTTTCTGTCGTATTGGAGCATCAAAAGAGCTGTGCTATCGTTCCATTTAAGTTGTTTTATATATCAAAGTCAAACATCTTTTACCTTCTTGAGACCTATACTTACCCTGTTTATAACGTCTGGATCAATAAACGCCTTAAGAATATTCATCATTTGATCCAAGAAATAATTTCCGTTCATGAAATGCATTCCTTTGAACTGAGTTGGTACTCCTTCTCCAAGATATGTGAAATATTTCTTTAACGAGATTGGATTTAATTTGAATACGTGAAAAAACCCCAACTAAAACAAACAAACAAAAAAAAAGATAATAGCATAATCCAATATCTTCGTAACCCCGAAAAGCATGTTTATATTGAAGATGACTTGTTTACAAAAAAGGCAAAATTATCAGTTTAACTTTAACAGTTTTTTACATGAGCTCTCGTGGGACACTCACCTTATCTGGGCTGATAGTATGTTTTACCAATTTTTTAAAATTTTTATAACACCTCATTAAATGCACCCATACCTAATAAATACTATGGAGAAAATCCAGCTAAGTTAATCTGGACAGATTTGTAAAATGGAAGATATCAAATGGTCAAAATGAAATGAAGATTTGTCAAAATGTCTTCTTCTTGTGCGATATCAGAGTTATTCGACGTTGGTGATTACCATTCTCGAATCATTAACCTGAATTTGATGTTTAAGTCCATTGATAAATGTTTTAAACCAAGAAACCTGATTTCTTTCCACCTTTTACCTCGCTATATGTCCCAAATAAGACATTTTTCGGCATTTAACAGTCTTTAGCAATTCCCTATCTTTGTTGACCCTCATTAGCACTTCCTCATTAATGTTTCTTGCTGTCCAATGTATCTTGAGCATGGTCTATGAGTCCATATTTATAATGCTTTAATTCTGTTTATACTTGATACTTTTAGTGTTAGTGATACACACTTCTGTTTCATATAAAAGTACCGACCAAATATATTATTTAACAATTCCTTGTCTTTCTTCTAAACTGAGATGATTATTGCAAACAAATTTCTTCATTTTCATAAAAGTAGTTTTCGTTAGTACTATTCAATAACTAAAAATTTATACGAAGCAAGGATAACAAGAAACAGAAAGAAAGGAAGACCAAGGAAAACCTCGTTCCAATAAATATTCGAATAGACAGGAAAAGAGAAAAAACCACGAGACAAATGAAAAAATTTACCAGAGACTGAACGGAGTGGAAAATGGATAGAGTTAACAATGAATGAAAAAAGAATAAAGAAATAATTTCAAAATGTAGGTAACTTTTATACAGGAGCCTTGAAAAATTGAAAGGAGGACAAATATAGCTCAGACAACTTGATACCATTATAGAAAGAGGAAGAAAAATATGAAAATAGTAATGATTTTAGTTCATAAACTCAAATAGATAGGCAAACAGTTAAGTTTTAATGTTTTTACTATTATATACTGGTACCCAGCACTAAATATTGAGATACTCCACACCCGATCTAGTGTACTTGTTACAAAAACAGATCAAATTAATCAAAGCTGTCTTTCTGTAGAAGAAAAAAAGGTCATAGACAAATATGTAAAAAGAAGACGAAGAATAGTATTAATAATAAGAAAACATAAAATTTGCAGAAACCTAATGTATTAGGTATTATTATTGTAGTCATAAAAATTAAAATTTCTTTACACCTATTAATTATTCCTACCCCTTTCATATCAGCAAGAAAAATAACTCCATCTGGTGGGCTAGTGTGGTGTTCTATATCTATCAGCATTAATGAGGCTTTCATAATGGGATGTAGTTCGAAATTTTTGCTATCCGTATCCTTAATACTAACATAAATCACTTGATTGTTTTCTTCTGTCCGATTTGGTATACTTATCATTCTCCTGAAACAAATATAAATAATATTGATTAAAATAGGTTTTTCATATTTTGACATTATATTAAAACATTAATTTAACAATATTTATGAGAAAGTTAATCTACCAAAAACGTAATATTTGGAACTGTAGAAGATATATTCTTTCTACAGGTTGATTCTTTGGAAGTTTCAGTTATAGGTCGAAAGTAATAATAATAAATGTTTTTAAATCAAAGAGATAACTGGAAATCTCTTAGACTAGACGGGGTTCAAAACTTCTGGCTAAAGAAGTTTTGTAGCGTTCATGAGTGTTTAGCAATTTTTATTAATCATGTTATTTAAAATCAGCAGGAAATACCATCATTAATTACTCAGGGAACCACTTATCTAGTAGCTAAGGATAAAAATAGCACCCAACTTGGTACAAATTGTTCATATCCTGTTTAGCCCGGCGTATGTATCTACCAACACTGCACTAATCATAGTAGTCAAAATACAAACATTACTAAATTGACTAATGTTTTTATTTTGAGAACGATTTCCGAAAAGGAAATTGAAACGTCAATAAAAGTACTTTAACCTTTAATTGCGGCTTATTCCCATTTAAATAATATTGTCAAAGACCTTCAGTTCTAAAACGACAAATAGCAATACGAATGTCAAGCCCAAAAAACGATTTACCATCTTACCGGGGGCTGCCAAGCATTTGTCGGAACTTATTACAAAGAGCACTATGATTTATGAGTAGAAATAATTAAGTCAATTTAGACATAAAAATAGTGGTCCAATAACAAAATTTCCCGGAAAGCTTAATATTGGTGGAGAGCTGGGGATTACCATTAAAAATAAAGTTTTCAAAATCCCCATTGAAGGTATGTGTGCTAGAACAGTTATTCGGGATCAAAGGTCAAAATTTGAGGTTTTTTTGGATTTTTCTTGAAAACAGTAAGTTATCGCAATTCTAAGAGTCATATTATACATGATATGCACATATAAGCCACGTACCTATCACGCACTTAAGACAAGCATAATTAATATCTCGGCCAAAGAAATGAAAGAGGTGATCGGCTGTTGCAATTTTGCCAGGAAAATAATTTTATAATTAAAAACACATTTTATCAATAACCGTAAAACGGGGTTACTTAAGCCTACAGGGTAACAAAAGCCATTTTGCATGGTAAATTTCGAGCGCCCATGTTGACAACACTGTTTGCAGCAATTGTAGATGTTTATGTGTATGTGAGTTGACAATCGTATAAACCTTAAGCTGCTGGAATACAACATTTATTCACATTAAAAGATAAGCCTAGCAATTTATTATTATTTAGAGGTAATTTGTATTGAAATTTCATAGCTGTTTAAACTTTTTCCGTCCAGCCCAGTCCGTTTTCTTTCAAGCTTAATAACTATCTTAAAATATAACCTTAGTTATTATTGTAGACCATGCTTTAATTCATTCTCCATATTTAAGGTTAGTTGTTTTTTGTTTGTTGTTCTTTTACAGCTGTGTTGACTACGGGGTAACAAAAGCCAGTTGCTTTTGTTACCCCGTAATGAAAAACATACTACATGAAAGTAAAAAATCATAAAGTTACAGCAATTTTCTTTGTTTCAGACCACAATACCTATGCCACGAACTTATCACCGGCCCCTTGGGGCTCGAAAGTATAAGGACTATTCGGATGAAAAGCTCGTTTCAGCGGTAAAAGCAGTGAAGGATGATGGACTTTCTTTGAGGAAAGTTGCTGAACAGTATGGAATTTCACGATGTGCTCTTACAGCAGCAGTGAAAGGGAAACGCAATAAGGTAGGAAGACCTTGTATTTTAAGTCCTGTTGAAGAAAACCAGCTGGTAGAATGTGTAACATTGGCTGGAAAATGGGGATTCCCGCTAACAACCTTTGATATTCGACTGATTGTGAAAGGATTTCTAGATCGCTGTGGCCGAACAGAAAAAAGGCTTAAACACAATATGCCTGGTATTGACTTTGTGGATTCATTTATGAAAAGACATGACAAAGAACTTTCTAATAGGCTTTGTCAAAATGTAAAAAGAAGTAGAGCTGCTGTCAATGAGACAATTCTCAACAATTATTTTGACGAACTCACAACATCACTTGAAGGAGTTCAACCAAGTATGATAGTTAACTATGACGAGACGAATATAACTGATGATCCGGGTAGAAAGAAAGTTATAGTAAGAAGAGGTACACGTCATCCTGAGCGAATCGTTGATTCTTCCAAGGCAAGTACATCTGTCATGTTTTCAGGGAGTGCAGATGGAAAATTACTTCCACCATACATAACGTACAAGGCACTAAATCTTTACGACTCATGGACTGAGAATGGTCCTAAGGGAGCAGTTTATAATAGGTCAAAGAGTGGATGGTTCACGCTAGAAATTTTTGAAGACTGGTTCAGAAAAATAGTTATTCCATACTTCAAGAAGTTTGACAAAGATGCTGTTAAGGTAATAATAGGGGACAACCTAGCAAGCCACATCTCACTAGATATTATTAATGAATGCAAGATGAAGAACATCAAGTTTGTGCTTCTGCCAGCGAACAGTACCCATTTTACTCAGCCTCTTGATGTATCTTTTTTTAGGCCACTGAAAATAAAGTGGCGCCAAACATTAAGTGACTGGAAAGAGAAGAATCGTGGTACAATACCTAAGGATACATTCCCAAGACTATTGAAGAAGTGTATTGATGACATGGGTGAAGAGAACATAGCAAAAAACTTGATAAGTGGTTTTAAAGGTTCAGGAATTTCACCTCTTGACAGGGAGCAAGTACTTAAGAGGCTTCCTAGTAGATCTAAGGAGAACGAAAGAGAAACCCTTAATGATTATGGAAACACTTGGGCTGCAACTTTACAATCCTTCCTTGAAAAAAACAGAGTTGAAGATACTACACAATTAGCCAGAGAAAGAAAAAAAAATTAAATGTACCACCTGGTGTAGGTGTACAGCCGGATGATATGAAGGACTCTACTGATAACCCTGCAGAGCAACAACCAAGTACTTCAAAGCAAGCTCAAGAGAAAACCCGTTTTTCAAAAAGATCCAGAAAGGACAGTTCTGATTCTAGTGACAATGATGAAGTATTCTCACTGCAAGATTCAGATGCTGAACTTGTTTTAAGTGACTTCACTGATGACAATTTTGAGGAACCTGAACCTAAGAACGTCTATAAGAAAGCCACGAGGACCACAGTGAAATGGGAGGAGATTACTGGCAAATCAGCTATATTTGTAATTGTTGAACTGCTATTTGATGAGGGAACCAAAAAAGAAGCTGTAAAGCAGTTTTATGCAAAAGTGTTAAATACATCACCAGAAACAAATGAAGTGTCAGTTAGTTTCTTAAGAAAAAGTACGAAAACTGCTGGGACTGTTTTTGTATTTCCTTACAATGCTGATGAAATGGATGTAAATATATCACAAATTGTTAAAGTTGTTCACCCTACAAATGTAAAGCGTGGTCACTACACTTTTTTGTATGAGTTAAATTGATTATTTAATCTTCAAAAACCTTAAAACATATAAAAATGTTAATAAATAAAGTTTTTTCTAATTAAATTCATTTTTTTAAACATAAGTATTGTTTATTTTAGCCCTGTGTACGGATTTAGTTACCCCAGGTGTGTTTAACTTACGCCATACATTTATCTATCATGCCTGGTTTTTCATACCCCGTTCTAAGGGGAAACTTAGGCCACCATGTTTTAAATTTTTTTGACAGGTAAAAAATTTTTTTAACTCTTTTTTTGGTATTAAACAATAAGTTTAGATGCAGACCCACCGTTTTACCAAGTTTTAAATCCCTGAAGTGATTGGTCTAGATTTGAAAGGTGTTTGAATTTCAAAAGTGGCCTAAGTAACCCCGTTTTACGGTACCTAGAAGACGAGTATACACGTGGAAATCTCCTGGGGACACTAAAGACCATATTATACGTAATCAAATAGATTATATAACCATAAACAACAGATATAAAAACACAATCGAATCTGTGGAAACGTATCCAGGACAGATATAGGGCCAGACCACAATCCAGTAGTGGCACAATTCCGAATAAAACTTAAAAGAGTACAAACACCTAAGCCCAAACAAGTAATAGATATCAATCGTTTAAAGGATGAAACAATTAAACATCAGGTGGAAACAAGCATTCAGGCAAATCTTGAAAAACTTGAAAAGACAGAGAAGATACCAGAACTACACATTAATAAACACTGGGCCATTATTAAAAACAACATGCTGGAGCCCGCTAAAAATATTCTGAAGAGAGAAAAACCAAAGAAACAGAAAGAATGGATGAGTGACGAAATTTTGTTATTGATGAATTCTCGAAGACTATCGAAAGGTAAAAGTGAAGAACAGTATAAGCAAATTAACACAGAGATCAAAAGAAAAATCCGCGACGCTAAAAAACAATGGTTACAAGACAAATGTAAGGAGATTGAAAACTTGGAAGCCAAATATGATTCGTTCTATCTTCACAGAAAGTTAAAGAAATGATCAACAATAGAAACAGCAAGCAGACAGTACTTATAGATCAACAAGGGAACATGATAATGGAAACAGAGGAGAAACTAAAACATTGGCAGACATACATAGAAGAACTGTTTGACGATCAAAGGCAGCCTCCTTGTGATAATTTTCCAGAGGAGACAGGTCCAGAAATAAGCAAAGAAGTAATGCAAGCGGTGAAGTCATCAAAGAATAGCAAAGCTCCAGGACCAGACGAGCTACCAGCGGATATACTGAAGTTGATAGACGAAGATCGAATCCATTTGTTAGTAGACTTATTTAACAAGATTTATGAAAACAGTATAATTCCTGAAGAATAGCTAAGATCAACCTTTGTCCCTCTTCCCAAGAAGGCACATGCTAAGCAGTGCAGTGATCATCGCACGATCAGTCTGATGAGCCATACCTTAAAAATATTCCTCAAAATAATTCACAATAGAATTTACAGAAAATTGGAAAAAGATATCGGAGAAACTCAGTTTTGATTCCGG